ATAATTGAACTCGGCGATTACTTCGTGAGGTACATACTTGAATTGAGCAGCAGTGATCGTGAGCGACATAATGGAAAGGAATCGAATGCCTATTGACTTTTAATGCAATTGTACTTCCATATATCGATTACTCATCCTGTTGGTCATCAATACGTTAGAAAATTGTGTAAACTTACAAACTGCACTCTGCATATTGCTTCTCAAATTTTGATTAGATAATGACTCGTCATTAATTACAGGTTGGTAGTTATTGATCAGGGAATTAAGAATATTAAATATTTACTGTATATTATGCGATTTGTGTTCAGCTCTAAACAATACTATCAAAAAAAATCACCAAAAGCACCGGAAGCCATCAAAAAATATAGAAGAAGAAAAGTCTGACTCAAAGCTGAAAGTAAAAATCTCATCATAGTACAGCACAGAAACATTCAGGCTGGAATAAACGCAGTCATCAGCTTTCACGAGATCAACTAATTCAAAACCGTGTAAAACAAGCCACTTTGAAAATTATTCAACAACGATAAAAATCAAAATGTCTTGCGAAAAATTTTAAATTTAGTCGTTTATTTTCACAACCCGTTCAATAAATATGTATTTCTCTAGTTGAAGAAAATGTTTACTTTAAGGCAAAATATATTTTCAACATTTTATGTATTTGAAAACATAACACCCTTTGTCGACAAAATGTATTACATTTTAAACAATAAAAAATATCTGTCAATCATTTCAATTTTTCGATTTCGTGGTAAGAAAACTTCAGTCCTCCAATTTGGTGGGTCAATTTTTCATTAAAAGCACAATTTTTCTATTACACTGCAACTGTCATTTCACTGACAGGTTGTTGAATTACTGCCTCTCGAATTTCAATCATTTCATCTATACAATACAATATTTTTTCTAATCATTCCGCTTCAATAATTCAATCGCTTAAAAATTTGGAGCACATATATTTTTTCTGATTTGGTCATTGTGTGTCTTTAATGTCAGTTGACTTGTTGATTGTTTACGCCGCCATTACCTCAACTAAATATTGAGACAACTCAAAAATGGACAACTAGAAAACATAGGTATAGTCGAAGTAAACGATATTGTGCGCATTTAAAGTTAGCAGCACTCTCGAAGACCAAAAAACCAATACATAAAAATGAACTGTCTGCGAACTAGTCCACATGGACTGTAGAAATCAGGTAATGCGGAGATGGTTATTGTCGTCGTGTTCGGTTCAGGAACTGATCGCGATTTGAGTGTTGAAATTCGATATTGGTGCAGTTATAATTACTTGCTTGAATGAATTACGATAATAATAATCCCAAGAACTAAATGAACAAGAAGATCAAGAAATTACCGTTTACCAAACAGTAAAGAAGAGCATGCATTTAATCGATAAAATTTGCCTTTTTGTCTTTACTCTTAGTCTTGGTAAAAGTAAGTCAATCCAGACACAATCCAAAGACGTACACAAAAGGTAGAAATAAAGAGTGTCCTTTTCAAAAATCTTCTTGACGCCACCTTGTTACAGGGACATGATCACTGATAATTATTACAGTTATCTTTATTTTTGACGGAGCTTCAAAAAAATAGTGTATTGTGAACTATCAGTTATTTCAGGATAGTTTAAAATTATTCACAAAAAGGAATCTCCAGAAAAAATATTATGTATTTTCCCTTACATCATTACTTGCAGCGGAAGCAATTAAAGCACCTTATCTCAATTTCCTATTCATGCCTCAGCTAATAAATCATTGACAAATTGATCCAGTAACATTATTGCAAAAAAAATCAACAATCTATGATTCTTGGTTCTCGAATCAATTAACTTATTCCTAATTGGTGTTAGTTTCATTGAGAGTAGTAGATATGACTCTAATTATATTGTTAGCATATAAAGAGAAAAAATCAATTCTAATGAAATATATATCGAAATGATTTTTCCTTCTTTACATCATCTGTAATTCTCGGAAAAAATAATTCATGAGATTTAACCATCGGCACGGATTTTATCGGCAGACTGAAAATAAGAATGGTTGAATATATCAACTTTTTTACGTTATTTTTAGCACCCATACAATCATATATTTTGAAAAAGTACTCTCCTGACGAAATATAGAAAATATTAGTCCGCATAACATTTAAAAAACATAACTTTGATACGCTACGTTTCTACTATAGTCACCCTGAATATTACTGGAGTTTCTTCCCAACACCAAATCGTTATTTTTACACCTCGACACGTGTTTCGATCACCAAGTGATCATCTTCAAGAGGAAGATAAAACTAGAAACTACTCAAANATGAAACTTTCTATGTTTTTTACCACTTTTATTTGTAACTAACGTTACTGCAGTTAATTATACAATATATAAGTTTGAAAATGTCCTTATAGGACGTAACTGCAGTAACGTTAGTTACAAATAAAAGTGGTAAAAAAACATAGAAAGTTTCATTTCTATTTTCTTCATTATGATTTCCTACCACGTAGTAACTACATCCATCAATTAATTGATTAATTAATCAGCATTCATCTTCATCACGAACGAGTCTCTGTGATCAGCTGTGATAGCGTCATGGCAACAGAATTCAGGGTGGGGACGGAGTGAGAGAGTAATAGATAGAGAAAAAGTGAAAAAGGAATAGAAACGCGGTGAGGGAAATATAGGAATCACGTAGCTGCACGCATTAAACTTTCTCGACGAATTTTTGCTATTTCGGCTTGCGGAAATCGTCAGATTATATATTTTTCGATATCCTTGAGTTATTTTCTTCAAAATAAAAAAAAAATTAGCTACGCTCGAGAATGTAGAGATGACTTTTTTTTTCAACTTTGCTGCCCTCACTCTCAAATTGTCAGATTACTGGAATATACACTTTTTAGCATGTAATTAACTCACCCTACCTTAATCTGACGCGCTCGAGAATTTCTAATAATCATTTTTTTGTACTAATCTGATCCTTTATCCTTCACGAGCGGCCTTATATATGGGGCTCATATTTGATGGAGGTCCTTAACCGGGTACAAGGTATCCCCCTGTATATTAATCTGCCGCGCTTCAGTAAATCCCGAAATCCCCGCTTGTACTCCCCTATTATAATAACAACAAGAAAAAACAAATAGTAGCACCGAATTGATCACTATAAACTATAATATATTGCAAAAATAATAATTATTGGAAGTGCTATTCATTTTGAGTCACATTAAACAAATCAATAATTTTTGACGAATGTCTGTATGGGTTCTTGGACTATACCATTAATTTTTGCTAGTTTTTTCAGCCAAGTTTCTTTTCTGACACTTAACATAAATGAATACCTTATACATTTTTTTCAGTAATGTGTCCTTGTCGAAATAGTTCGAAATGACTGTGTTGATAAATTGATAGATGTGTCGTTACTACGTCGTAAGAGATAATCATGAAAAATATAACTTTATACATAGAAAGTTTCATTTCTCATTTTTCGCGTAGAAATTGGTTTGTTACTTCAAGTTTAAACAAATAGTTACAATATTTTTTTATTAACCCAAAACTGCATCACGATAATGCAGCTGCTCACAAAACTGACGAAATTCAATACAATCTTTGAAACCCAATTTTCCGCCGCATCGTTCCCCCTTGTCTTACAGTAGACGCTACGCGTAATGGCCTTACTGTGTTGCGTCAAGGTGATCTTATCGTGATAACTTATAAACGATTCGTCCAAATTACTTAATGTGAAAGACAAAGATTATCTATATCAAATACTTAAAACGACAATTGTACCAATTTTTATAATAATTTGTCAGATATTCTAAAATGTGCATTGNTGTTCCGAATTATTGAAAAGACCTATGAAAGGACGGCATTATGCGACGATTGAGGAGATAAAAACCGAATCACTGAGAGAGCTCAAGGTCATACCTATTAAAAAGTGCGTATCAGAACTACTTCGAGGATTGGAAAACTGGCACAACTGTATTATATCTTAGGGGGGGCTACTTTGAAAGGGACAACATAGAAATTGATGAATAATCAAATAGTTTTTGAGAAAATTGAAAAATTCATCTCATTTTTTGAATAGAGCACGTATGCCAAATTGTCAGCGACCCAAATGATTTCAGAAATAAAAAATAAAAATCCCAGCGTGATAAAATATAATGCACCTTTTTTTCGACTGAAATAGAAAATAGTAAATTTAATGTTGTCTGCAATTCCTCTTTCCTTATCAAGCGAGGGGAAATAAAACTACGGTAGATAGATTGTCCAATTTGAAAATTCTCCTTGTTGTCGGGAAACTGAACTTATTACTATTATAATCACTACTTATCACAAATGAGTAAGAATATGATTTAGGATACCTCGACGGATTGGGTAAACATGTGTGGAGTATACAACCAGTTATCAAAGCAAAAGTTGGAACACTTTTATTCCCTTCTTGTTGAACATCAGTTAAATCATGATCAATAAAAACTCTATTTGTTGTAAATTCATTCGTTCAACGAACTGACTAATTAATACCGGACTGAAATATTCAAGTGGACATTTTTGAAATAACGGCCAATCTGTGTCACACACAATGCTGTCTATTTATCTCAATGAAATTTAATATACGAGAGGGATCTGCAAAGTTTCCGACCTAACAAAGATACAAAACGTATTAAGAGATTTTTTTTTATTTTTCAACATAGTCTCCTTTTAACTCTACACACTTCTTCCAGCGATGCTATCATCTCTCTAACCCTCCCAAATGGTACTCGGCGTTTTTCTCTGCAAAATAATTGTTCACGAAGGTGATGCCTCTTCATTTGACGAAAATCTGTGTCTACCGAGTGCAATTTTTAGATGAGAGAACAAAAAAAGACGATTAAGGCTAGATATGGTGAGTGAGGCGGACATGACAACCGCTGTGGCCATTTTTCCGCAAGTTATGTATTTAGCTTGTCAAGTAATAATGCGTAGTATGCTCCTGCAATCGATTGAACAACTCCATGACTATTCCAAAATTTAGTCGCCATCTTAACCAACTGTCTCTATATACGAACAATTTGGGCCCTTTCAGTATTACGAACACCTGTTTCCATGAACGATCAGCAGCACGCTGGAAATAAAAAAAAAATAATTAACCACTGAACATGTGAATAGGGGAGAAATATGAGAAATAGAGTTGCTTCCAACACCCACCACTCGCTATTTAGGCAAAATTGACCTTTTCGTTTTGGAATGATATTAATTTTATTTGTTAAATATTAACGGAAATATGATATTGCGACTGAGGTTACAAACACAATCCAACCGAAATTCAATGATCACGAAACTAGCCTTGAAAATGTATACCTACTTGATTCTTCAACAGTTCATTCATGATCGTTATTTTTTGCAAACTATCACTTCTATACCCATTCATTTATTCCACCCACTCACAAGTACACACTGAGAAGTCTCTTACCTTGCCGTCAATTTCCAAAATTTTACAATGTAGTATTCCTTCCCTAACAATGCCGTAGTTATCCTTATCGAGAGGGACGGGACTTCCTGACGCCTTCTCCCTGTCCAAAGAGGCACTACTGCTGCTGGCGCTACCACTGAAATTAATTGGAATATGAACAACTTTATCCCGAAATTCCGGATTGTAACTACTCGATCCAGTTGAGATTATGTTAGCGATATGCGTCTAAGTAATTAGCTGAGCTAAGGATGTTATAATACATTGTTTGTGTTCTGATAAGATTAGTATTGTTAGTATTTTACAGTAACAGTTGGCGACTGAACTTGGACTTGCTACGTGAGTGAACCTGCATGCGATATAATAAGGTAGGTTAGGTCCGATTTTATAGGGTTCATCAAACAAGAAGCCCATTTTTTGTAGAGTACATGTGATTTCCCAAATAATGGATCTTTCGATATTCATATATACAGGGTGTTTATTAAACAAGCGGCAAAAAATTAAGGGACTATTATAAGGAAAATTTTCCTTTGATGATTTTTGATACGGAATTTTGACAATAACAATTTTGATAATTTCAAAATTATTAACGTAGCCGAAATAAAAGTATAGAGTACGACACTGGACCTACCAAGCAATAAAAAATTTTACAAATCCGTTGGTACCATCAACAACATTCCGATTACTATAAACGGCAGCAGACATTCAATTTGGATATTATGTCTCGAAAGTGATCATTTTTATGCGTCGAATAAGTTGAAACTGATTGACTTTCTCTATTTGGCTTGCATTTTCTGTGTTTAATATTTGAAGTCTTGTTAGTGAATTCCTCTATGATGAATGGTCATAGTAACGCAGTGATGGCTGACATGCATTTCATTTATGGCCTTTTGCTGATGGCAATTCATTGGACGCTAGGCAGTTGTACTGTGAAGCCTAATAGAAAAACCTTCCAAAGTATACATCAACGACTTCGTGAAACAGGGGCATTGAAGCAAAATGGAGGACCAGGAATGCAAATGACAGTAAGAACGGTAGAAGTAGAAGAGAATGTGCTGGCCATGATAGAAGAAGATCCAGGTACCTCTATTCGAAAACTTGCAAATACTTTAAACCGCAACTTTTTAGTAAACCCTACCTCAGTTTCTGGAGGATATACCATTGGCTACAAGAAATGCAATGTGGTTTATGCACGATGATGCAACAGCGCATTTCAGCATATCGGCTCGAGAGTTTTTAACAGTAACATACGGAAATCGCTGGATTGGTCGAGGTGGACCTCACTTATGGCCTGCTCGATCACCGGACTTGAACCCCCTGGATTATTTCCTATGGGGCCACCTTAAATCATGAGTTTATAATACTCCACTGGAAGATGTCGAAGATTTGAGAAATTGGATAATTGCTGGGTGTAACATAATCAGAAACGATCCTGGTGTTTTTGAAAGAGTTCGAGAGTCGATGAGAAGAAGATTGGATTATCTACTAAATTGTGTTTGATAAGTTATAAACATATTGCAATTATTGCTAAATCCATATTCAGATTATGTAATAAATTGTAAAACAACGTGTTTTGAAACATTATTGAAGAACAAGTTGCAAATTAATATAAAAAAAGTTTATGTGCTTCATAAGTCATTTTGTTCCTGTCCTGAGTTGGTAAAGATCAAAGAAAATTTTCAACACGTTTCAAAACTCAAAAAACTTGTTGAAATGTAATTTTTCGGAATTGAAACTTATGGCGAAACATTAGCTTCCGAGTTGTCGTGTTTTACGGTAGTCTGTGCACCAGGAAGGTATTCAGTATGACCAACACCATCAATTCTGTTAAATTCGTTTAGCGTGTTAAAGTAATATGTACTGAATAGTAAAAATCTCACAAGTGTATATTAAAAACGGTACCACGGATTTTCTTTATGTACTTGTGATGCACTGTTTGAAACCTTTGGTGTAGTAATTAATATTACTGGAGTGTTTCGATCACCAAGGAAGATCAGTTTGATCACTATGACGGTCATGCAAANTATTTCGATCACCAAGGAAGATCAGTTTGATCACTATGAAGGTCATGCAAAATATCAGTTCTTCTATATTTTTTTGATCCGCAAGGATGCAAAACATTCCAATATAACAAAATTACATATGTCACAGTCGTTTGTAATACTATGTTCTCACTTGGACAAGACATCCTGAAGCTGGGGTTTTATCAACAAATATGTCTCCATTGTTAAGTCGCTCAATGTTCTCGAATGATAATTTTTCTATAAGTTTGAAAACACCATGATTCAATAAACTTATTTTAAAACAAAAGTGTATGAAACTTGTTGTATAGTCTAAATGAGGCATGAGACACTGCTTTGGCAACTTCGATAAAATGTGCTCAAATATTGGCACTGTTATTTAATTACACTTTGATAAATATGCCTGATGTATGTTAACTGGTTATGAGAAACTTTTTTTTTAAATTCAGTGCGAAAAAATATCAATCAAGTTATTTCAAGGAGTACTTTCGCATCTATATTGTCAAAAAAAGTTATTTCACAACTTGGTAACTTTATTTTCATTTTGAGGCTTTGAATGCATATTTTTGGTGGTAATAATCTGTATGAAGTTATGTATTATCTGTGAGATGTTTTTTTAACAATACACGTACTTCTGAAATGAGATAACCATAATACGTGTGTGAGTGTGTCACAAAGTTAATTAAAAAAGTATAATGAGATAAACGATGTCTATTCCTTACCATGACTTTGGTCACGTATATTCCAACTGCTCATCTTGAACCGTTTCGAATCGTACACCCCATATTTAACTACGCAACCTAACACTAGCCCGAAGTTCTGCACATATCTGTCAATTCACGTGGAAATTGAAGTATCAATATTTTCCTTATGCATTCATATAACCACTAACGAATCCGCTAGCCGACGTAAACCGCGTTGAAAGTGGTCAAAGTGAATCTATTTTTACTCTTACACCAACTTCATCCTATTTCCGCCAAGATTCAAAAAAAACGTTCCAAGGAATTTTACCGTGAACGTTTCGTTTACGCTCTGGCGTAACTCTTACACAGTACTCTGGTACTATAGAACCAAGGATCTTCTGAATTAGTAAGCACATTTAAATTGTGAAATACAAGTAAGTATCGGATGTCCTTCAACGGCACTGATAAGCGAAATCTCAATTATCAAGAAAACAACCCAACTTTTTCTCAAAAGACACCCCAATAAGCTATTTGCATATTTCGCTATTTTCGTTCAAATGACAAAAACACTCTATTTTTGTCATTATAACGGCATGTTCACTTGTACCTTTCACACACTTTTTAATATTCTTGAAGAACAATTGGATTTCATGACACATTGAAACTTTTTCTGATTGGTTGACGTCACAATTCTGCATATTATCATCAACCATTATATCTCAGAGTAAAATTACGCACAAAAAATATCTCATTGCTGCTCAATCAGAAAGTCATTGATTTCATAGATTTTATACTTCTGAAAATTTTCATTAATAACATTAAACATGTTTTCTCTCTCTCTTCACTCTTTCTCCCTCCTCTTTTTTTTCTTTGTTTTTCTCTAGTTTAGTTTTCTACCATTTGATTAAAAATTGTTTCACAATAACCTGTCTTAACTGGCATGTGGCTCACTTGTTTTCACAAACTTTAGTTGTAACTTTGTAGTATAGTTTTTGATTATTTCCTACAAACCAATGTAATTATGAAAACATTGACGACAGAGGTTTACAGCATTGAAACGCTTTTTCCCAACAGCGATACAAACTGACAGCTATGAAATCAACAACTAGCTGTCATTATTCTTCAATCATAGGTGACTCTCGAGGCCTAGTTATACATCATCTCACAATTTCATTCACTGTCACTATACTAATCAAATTGAACCAATGGAATCAAATATTCCAAAATAACCAATATAATTGTGATTGCATATTAAAATTTTGTATGAATGCTTCCACAGAAATTCACAGGTCTAATTTGATATTATGATTATGACGGTAACTAGATCCTAAGTGAATTGAGACAACTCAAATGAATATGTGAATCAAAACTCACAAATCTGTTTTACCGTTAACCAGCTACCGCCCCCCTATGAACGACAACTCTTAAAAGTCGAAACTAAGGACTAACGAGGTATTACCTTCTAACGTGTGATTCCTAACACGGGTTGGACGACAGCAAGTGAAAACTGATCGTCCGGCCTCGCGGCTTGAACCACCGGTTCACACAGCGGTCGATTCAAACGACCAAAATTGATTGGCACACTTTACTGATTCACATAACCTCACGAAATTAAGAAAACAATCCTTCAATTCGAGTTCCTCCTTGAATACCATCTATTTAATATGATATCAGAAAATCTCAAGATCATAATCCAAACTTATAAGTAAATAAGACATTTTAATGAGAATGGAAACGTTATTCTGATTTTCAATGAAATCAAAAAGAATACGCGTCAAGTAGGTCGACTCGTCCTACGGACTACAGAATCGATAACATTTTGAGGTCTTGTAGTATTACTATTGACAAATAATCAATCAAGTACCGTTGGCTCCCTCCAATTCACTGATTGCGGGCACTCATGGCAATCAGCTTTTGCGTCAAAAAATTCAAGTTTTCGCTATGAACCTGAAGTCAAGATAGATGTTGCGACTGATTTCGAAAAGACAGGAATACTCACGAAAATTGATCGCACGTAGGCACGTAGGCGCCGTCTCCGGGGAACCATTAGAAGTAGTTTTAACAATCAACAGGGTTGTTGGTAATCTCGTTTCAAGATTACGTGAAATTCTATCCTTCTAGGAAGTTGGTTGAATTAACAAAGACAGAGATGATGGGTTTGATGACATCATGCATAGCAAACAGCATACGAAAATGGGGTAATAGATTAATAATGTTGCAGTTGACATAGGTACATCTCATAACTGCACATAGCGACAGACTTGGCTAAACAACTCGTATACAAATAATGAATTATAATAATGTATTCCAATACAATTATTCATTTCATTTGTTTCTAGTGACTCTATTCTATTTTATGAATTCATTTAACAAAATAGTTGTTACGGATTTACAATAAGAAAACACTTTTTTATCGAGCTTTTTTCGGTATTTTC